TTAAGTATTAACACATTAACACCGAAATGAACTGCCCTAATCAAAGTTACTAGTTTTGATAAATTAGTCACTTAAAACTTCCTCTTGAATGTATTTAAAAAATAACTCATCAATATCTAACACGTTGTTTTAAAGATCTAAACAAATAGGGACATACGGCGGCTTTGTTTCATAAAACAAAGTCCTCTATAGGTTCCTAATCAATACGTAGGAACCTATACAGGACCTTTTTTTTTGTCAGGGCCCTCTTCCGCCCAGGGCAAGGCGACAGAGAGTGTCAGACTCTTACTGACTAAAAACCCCTCCGTTCCTTCTCCTGCTCTGGGCCGAGGTGACTCATTGCGCCTAAACCGCAATCCCGGCTGACCTACAGAGGACCTGAATTCCTGATCCCCATTTAGTAAAACAAGAACGCAGATCTAATACTATTAATATTTTTCGATTATAATATTAATGTTGTTTTTCATGGACAAGCAAATAAAAACAATGAACGAAGGATAGGAACTTTTCTCAATTTCCTTTTTGTTGCTCGATGATTAAAAAGCTTGATATTAAGCGTTTGAATTCATTTTTTAACGTTAAAATTTGCAATATAGGAATATGTACGACGGGCTGGCCAGTCTAACAGGAAAATGAAGTGCACGCAGCATTCTTCGTTAAATTATGTCTAGACTCTCAGACGCCTGACTCAGCGAATGACTAAATGCTTTTTTCAACCAATATCACCATAGGTACTAACTTATAAACTTTCGCGTTTCATATTAACAACATATATTTATTTACGCGGGTATTAACGCGGAAAATTATTATTTGAATACCTTGATAGGGTTGACGTTTCGACCCGGTTGCACAGGTCGTGGTCACAAGCAGGCTGAAGATGCGATGTCACAGCTCCCGGCATTCGGGCTATGAATCTTCATCTAACCCCTTATTTTCATTTTCTACGTTATTAGGCCATCTACACTCTACGCTGACTGTATCCACAGTTGTGTTAACCGACTTTGAAGGAAAGCGAGGTTGTGTTTTGCGAATCACTGGACTCCACCTCGACGAAAATTTAAAGCCGTCCTCCCGATTGAAATTATTTGGGCATTTCTTTATTTCAACTGCTTCACGCACAAGTCTTGTATGGTACTGGCGATCAATGGAGAGAATTTGCGGTCGGTGGAATTCTATCCAGTGATTAGAACCAGCCTGGAGCAGGTGTTCTGCTATCGCTGATTTGTTGCTCTGTCGGTTCTTGACTGCGGCGATATATTCTTTGAACCTCTCAGCAATGGTCCGCTTCGTTTGCCCAATGTAGGAACTACCGCAGCTGCAGTTGATACGACCTCTTGGCCACCATGACTACCAGAATTTCAACCTTCATTCATCAAATCCCAAGCGAAGGCCTCCTGCGCACCTCTTGTTCTTCTACTGTGTCTCGAATTACTACGATTAAAAGGCCATCTGATCACGACTTCTTATTTCGTCTAATGTTTACATTTACTGGCCGAACGAAGCTATTGTTATCATCAGTGAAATCGATTAAGGTTAATGAGTCTACTTTTAATTGATCTCAATTTTCTATCGCCAGATTTCAAACTGATATTTATAAATTCTAATAGCGCTTTCATTTGTTTATTATACATTTCGGTTGTATTAAGAGTTTGACATTTAAATCTTTAATTAAACACGTAATAATAATAATTTTGCAGAAATCAGTAATGTACAATGAAGAGAAATTCGCGTCATCTGACTTCCCTTGCCTAGGGTATGGTGAGAGTGACTGCCAGACTCTTACTGACTAATATCCCCGTTCTTTCTCCTGGTCGAGGCCACGGTCCTTATTGCGGTTGGGCTACCACCCCGGCTAAACATTGGCCCGGTTGGGCCCCATCTGTACTGGTCTTTTTTCTTAGAGCGACTATCTGCTACAAATTCTTCTCTATACATTTATATATAAGACAAATCCTAACTGATACTAAGTTCTTGCTTGATCTCCTGAGTGTCAGAGTCGATGGTACTTGCACGAAGAAGTCCACAGCTAAGGATAATAAGGCAACCATTTCTCCAACCAAAGTCGTCAACCAAAATTTAGTATCTCCTCTTCATTTCGACCTTACAAAAACAGGATATCCAGAAACTCTGTCAGTAAATGTTGACAAACAGTATCTTTTTTAGCGACACAGACATACTTACATGTTATTGTGTGTACATATTAGTAGCTTGCTGAGAACAATAGCAGACGTTTGAGTCTACCGTCTCGTTGTTAGGGTTGTACGCATTAAGAAAAATGGCGGTTCTGTGTGCTTGCTAAAAAAACAAATAAAAAATATCGAATCAATCATCAAATAGCGCTGACCTTGGACATTCCATCCGTAAATCCCTAATTATTGAGGCACCGCGACCTCGGCCCAGAGCAGGGAAGGAACGGGGAGGTTTTTAGGAAACAGGAACACCAGAGGAACTACAAGTGCCTTGATGTACGGATTGGGAAGAAATAGGGGGAGGGCAGCATTGTGCCTCCGATAACTTCACTCACACGCGCCAAACCTAACGCTGTGGTGGTTTCACGTCCTATTTCTGTAGGTAGGGCCGTTTAAGGACTTTAAGAATTATACATACAAAATGGTGGAAGCTTGGTTTAGGCTTCCTCCTCCACGACTGATTTTTTTTTTTTGGGAAAAGACCACCCTATTCAACTTATACTGCTGCAACTCCTTTAGGTGATGAATGATGATATACCCAACGATCACCCAAATAATGATGATCTATGTAGTATAAAGTTCTCATGAATCAAAAACCAGAAAAATAACAGGGAATATTGAAAAATTGCTCCCAGACCAGGCAGGGATGAGTTGCTTTTTGAGACTTAAATTAATTTTGACCTTCCATGTTGCATACGCAACCTGTGTTAACATAAAGCGACAACTACCATCAAATTTTCTTTTTCTAAATCTCCCAATAAGACACGTGCAAGCTTCTGCCAGCAATAAAAATTGCCTATTTGTTATTCTATAAAGACTAAAATCTATCTACTAAGTTTTTGTTGGGCATGTTGCGGTTTAACTCTCTTGAGGTGAGGCGAATTATTTCTTAATGATTATGAGCTGTAAGACGCTGCGTGTTGAATCTGACTGTCCAGAGATAGTAGGACAGGTGGTGCGGTTATCAGTACCCAGGCTGCTTACGCGGCCGAAGTTGGTGTAACTTCGGCCGCGTCAACATGCCTTATTCGCTGTACCAGACGCACGTACAGTGGCCCATGCAAATTCTCCGCTGGTCCGAGTTCTCACCATGCTCAATTCTCTCCTGATGTCAGCGCTGCCAGATTGTGATTTGTTTGCAATGAGATCTGTGTCGTGAATGTCTTAGATATTTTTAATAGGATGGATGATAGGTAGGTAAACTATAATGTTTGTTTTAGTTTAAGATTACTATGATTACCAATCTTGTTATTCAATTGTATTAAGTACTTTTATTTTGTTAATATAATTTAATGGCGTAAGCTGTAATGTTGTATAATGTAAATTTTCTTAATAAATAAATAAATAAATCTCTATGCCAAATTACATACAGATCCATTCATCAGTTTCTGTGTTGAAAAGTTTGCGATAGATATCCATCGATCTTGGACGGAGATAAAATTAAATTTTTCAAAACCTACTGCGAATTAATATTTAATGTCGTTTAACTTCGCCATCCCTAAGTGAGTGAAGTTGTCGCTTCCGCCAGCCTGTTCGTTCGCCAGTCTGCCCATTTAAATCAATAAAACGTTGAACTTTTTATTATTAAGTAAGTATGTGGAAAGGGGGGACCTTTCTAAGCGGCTACATGCCTTATATTTCATTTTAGACTAGGCATATTACTTTAGTAATGGTTGGTTGAATAGACTTTTTTTTTGATGGGGAATAATCATCAAATGGCCTTTCTCTCTCCCAGGATAAGACGAGAGGGAAAGTCCGACTAAAAACCTTCTTGTACCTTGTCCTGCTCTAGGCTGAGGCCGCGGTATAACTCATTGCTCTTTAAAAACCTATAATTACGCGGCTATTAACGCGAAAATAAGTATTTAAATACCTTGGTAGGCTTGACGTTTCGACCTGGTTGCTCAGGTCGTATTCACAAGCAGACTGAAGATGCGATGACACAGCTCCCTGCATTCGGGCGATAAATTTTCAATTACCCTTATCTATCTATCATTGCTCTTGCCCGGAACCTCGACTGAAGATATTGATAGCTGTATTGATGCTTATTTTGTAGTAAACGCGAAATTATATGGTTCCTTTGTAATTTGTCTCTCTTTCACATCGCTATGGAGCGTTTATATGGTACTAGCGGCCCGCCCCCGCTTCGCACGGGTCCAACTATCGCTATCAAAGGGTCACTTTTTCCCAATATTCCCCTCTACTTTTCTAATATTTTCTTTAATAAAAACCTTCTCCTGACAATAACAAACATAACAAAAAAAGAATTAGCAAAATTGGTCCAGGCGTTGTTGAGTTATGCGCTTACCAACACATTTTGCGATCCATTTTTATATATATAGATTATTTTAACGTCTGAATAAGTTTGCAGAATCCCTGGTAAACAGTCAAGTGGTAGTCACTCGTATCTCAATTCTACAATAAACATTTTTATTTCCTAAAAACTAAATAATATTTTATAATTAAATATTTAGAAATGGTGTTGTAAGATTTTTAGATATTTTTAACATATTATGTATGCATTTTAAAACCTTGAATTTAACCTCTGAACTTGTAAGACGCAAACACTACTTAGATTTAAATAGCACTAGCGACCCGGCCCGGTTTCGCATGGGTGCACTTTTCCGTCACTATCTCAATAAAAAAACCGCATCAAAATCCGTTGCGTAGTTTTAAATATTGTAGTAGGCATGCATAGAGATATAGGGACAGAGAAAGTGACCTTTTTATACTATAGTGACGTTAGATGTCCAACCACAAGTGTTTTACCAAACTGAACTTAAAATAACGAAAATCTTCTCAAAATTCCAGGCGAAAAGACTCAACGGCAATGCCGAGCTTGCTGCCATCAAGGTGATCAAGTTGGAGCCCGGCGATGACTTCGCCATCATCCAGCAGGAGATCCTGATGATGAAAGACTGTAGGCATCCCAACATCGTCGCGTATTATGGCTCCTATCTAAGAAGGGATAAGCTATGGATCTCTATGGAGTACTGTGGAGGTGGAAGCTTGCAGGTAATTATGGAAAAATCTGTCCTTGGACTTAATTGTTGCTTAGACTCATTTTTCCTTGACAAATGACATTTCTCTATCTAAATAATAATATAGAGTTAAAATTGCATTGAAAATACTTACCTATTTAAAACAACAAGGTAACAGAAGTTTTTCATTCATTCTTCTCCACGGGATTGGATATGTTTTGGAACGAAGTTCGTTTGGCTAGCAGCACAGCTAATGAACAACATCCAAGTTTTACAAATCAAAATTCAATAAAAAAATTATTATTAAAAAAACAAAATACCCGACTGCACACTAAAAAAAGAGTAAAACAAGCCCCACAATACAAATTTACTGAATATAATTTATAAATGTTGATGGAAAGCATCGCAGGCGGGGACCAACAGAGGCTTATTTATAGTCATTTCTCTTGTGCACCATTTAGCAGAATTTTCGTTGGTGGCGGTCAAGGTGGTCCCCGCCTGCGATGCTTTCCATCAACATTTATAAATTATATTCAGTAAATTTGTATTGTGGGGCTTGTTTTACTCTTTTTTTAGTGTGCAGTCGGGTATTTTGTTTTTTTAATAATAATTTTTTTATTTATAACTTTTTAGCTGTTTTTATGCAACGAAAATGTTGTAGATGAACATGTTCCCGTGGGAATTTTGAGAAAAAACGTATCCTATATTAATTACTCCCGTGATTGAAATGAATCTAATGATACCGCATACATATTTTTTTAAAGGGAAATTTAGAAAAAATATTATTATGTCTTTATCCCGTGGGACTTTTAGGATAAAATGTATCCTATGACACTCCCGTAATCAAGACAAATCTAACGATACCTCATACATCAAAATCCATCAAGCCGTTTAGGCTACAGGAGGTCACAAAGGAAAAGATATACATACATACTTACATACACTCGAAAAACATTACCCTCCTTCTTTGGCAGTCGGGTAAAAAGAAAATCCTTTTAAATTGCTCAATTATGAAAAGCGGCCCCGGGCCGGAGCAGGAGAAGAAACAGGGTGGTTTTTAGTCAGAAAGAGTCTGACACTCTCTCGCTCCGCCTAGGGCGGTCATTCAATGATTTTCCTCCCTTTTTTATGGCATATTAAGTGGGCAAACGAGCATACGGATTACCTGATGTTAAGCAATCGGCGTCACTCGTGAAAACTAGACATATAGAAGGAGTTACTAATACTGTAAGTGCGTTGCCTCTAGTTAGAGTTATTAGATTTTTAAGGATAGGGAACACGGCGAAACACAACAAAGAAGTTGCTCCACTATTGCCGGTATTCTGTGACGCCGTGGTATCACTCCGGTCAGCCAACCCAGCCGTGCCAAAACATGGCTCTCCCACAGTTAATAACTGTGACACTACCTGAACTGAACTATCCTATATCTCAATTCCAGGATATTTACCACGTGACGGGACCTCTAACCGAACTGCAGATCGCCTACATGTGCCGGGAGACGCTAACTGGACTCTCTTATCTACACAGCATGGGAAAGATGCATCGGTGAGCGAAAATTCTATTTTTTATTAGTAGTATAATAACTTAGTACATTCCTAGGTTAATATATTTCTTTGACTATTCAATACAATTATTTATTAAAATATTGTATAATCGTACTTTCACTCATTGATTTGACGATATACTTAATTTTAGATTTTTTCTAGTTACCTACTTATTAAAAATAACTTTGTTTTTTTTTTTGGAATTTAAAATATACGTTGCCCCACACTTGGATTTTCTCTTGTGTCGTGGGTGCGTTTACAAACATACAATTTCACATGCACATAACATCTAGACCCCAGCCACGGCACCAACCGTGCAGTCAAACTATAACTATGCTGTTTGACGTAAAAAACATATGAAGATTGTTAGATAATCACTACATAGTATGAAACAAAGTCCCTATATATGTTTCTTTTTTTATGGAATAGGAGGCAAACGAGCAGACATATCATCACCTGATGGTAAGCGATCAGCGCCGCCCATGGACACCTGCAGCACCAGATGTACCTCTCTTTACTTTTTTAACGGATTGTGATGAGAGTTTTTTGATAGACTCAGCGATTGAAGAGGTTTATGTGTATAATAACGCTATTGGAGCTATTTACTATCGGTGGGTCGCTAGTTTCAAATATAAAGTATGTAGTCAAATCAATGAATGGAAATGATTTGAATTGTATAGAAGTATAATAGGTATGTTGTTTGTTATAATAATTGTTATGTAACATGTTATAAGCTATTGTAGTTGTAGGATTAGTCACACTACACGTATAAGATAAATATGTTGTACACACGCTATGCGTAATAATATAATATTCTACATTTCTACCTCGTTGGTCAAACGGTCGCTAGTTTGACTACCGATCAAAGGATAGAATGTTGATAGTTCGTAAAGGTTCTTATACTTTTTATATATAAAAAATAGCGGCCCGCCCCCGTTTCGCACGGGTCCAACTATCTCGCTATCAAAGGGTCACTTTTTCCCAATCTTCCCCTCTACTTTTCTAATATTTTCTTTGATAAGGACCTTCTCCTGACAATAACAAACATAACAAAAAAAGAATTAGCAAAATCGGTCCCAGCGTTGTTGAGTTATGCGCTTACCAACACATTTTGCGATCCATTTTTATATTTATACATATAGATAGATAAAAATGAATTGCTGTTCGTTAGTCTCGTTAAAACTCGAGAAAGGCTGGACCGACATGGCTTAATGTTTTCTTTAAATATTCCTGGATATACAAAGAAGGTTTAAAAGGTCAGATAATAATCAATATTAGTTGTTACATTTGAGGCGAAATTAAAAAAGTAATTTATTGCGTTATAATTTCCCGGTTTTTGTTTGTGTCTCTTTTTCTTAAACGATTCCTCACAGTAGATTTTTCTTCTCTGTCGTAGTGCGTTAACAAACATACGAATTCACATACAAGAGATTCCCAGACTCCAAACAACAAATTGTGAATTACACAAAGTGTTGTTGTTGTGTAGTTGGACAGCAGCCAGTTGCCCAGCCACTGTGCCAACCGTGCACTTTGCAATAGGGATGTCTCCTGGGTTAAAACAACAAAATTCTAATTAGTCCGTCAGTTAGATTATAGAAAAATACTCGACACGTATTTTTTAATTTGTCCATACGAATAATATTGACAAAGATACAGCACATTCAAATTCAGGAGTAGGGGCTCGTGACGTCACTCTTTCGTAAAAATTTTACGAAATAATGACGTAGCGCGAACTTTCGCCGCTCTGTAACTTTGTTATTTTTAAGTTTTAGAAGCAAAAGAAAAAATACTTGTCTGCTCTTTTCTGGCGTTCTAAAAGATGGACTAATTATTATTTTTTAGTTATCATCCCTATTCTCCAAACAACTTCAAAATAATATATACCTACGAGGTATTACATAACTATAAAATATTTATTGTTAACAGCGACATAAAAGGCGCGAACATCCTTCTGACGGAGTGTGGGGATGTGAAGCTAGCTGACTTCGGAGTCTCGGCCCAGATCACGGCCACCATCAACAAAAGGAAGTCTTTTATTGGGACCCCGTATTGGATGGCTCCTGAGGTAAATACCATATTCCTTCCTCCAATTAACAGTTATGGATTTTGTTTAAAAGGCCCTCTATCATGCCTGGTGCTTTTTTTATGAAATAGGTCGTAAAAAGGACAGACTTGTTACCTGATAGTAAGCCATCGGCGCCGTCCATGGACACCTGCAAACCTCGAGTATTTACGAGTGTTTTGCCTCGAGTATTTACGAGTGCTTTGCCAACTTTTTGGGGATTAGGGTTTCGGTGATGTAGAGATTGGGGCGGGAAGGATTGAGCATCCGGTAACCTTACTCATACGACGAAACACAACATTGTGGTTGTTTCACGCCGGTTCTCTGTGAGGCCGTGGTATCACTCCGGTTGAGCCGGCCTATTCGTGCCGAAGCATGGCTCTCTCACACTTAGGTTGGAGTTTTACTAATAATTCACTTGTTTTAATTATATTTTGTTTGATTCTAGGTGGCTGCAGTGGAACGCAAGGGTGGTTACAACCAGCTCTGTGATATTTGGGCTTGTGGTATCACTGCCATTGGTAAGTTGTGAATATATCATTATTTGGATCTCTATTTTTGTGAGGGGAAAATCATCCTCCTCCCACCCAGGGTGCGGTGAGAGGGAGTACTAGACTCTTAATGACTAAAAACCAACCGTATCTTCTTCTGCTCTGAGCCGAGGCCGAGCCCTCGCCTTTTCAACATTTTGAAAAATAAAATCAAGATTTTTATTAATAAGAGTTCACCTAAATCGCTGTGCTCAACAATACCCAGTCGCCTACTCATCAATAAATTAAACTGCTAAAATTATTTAAGAAATATGCTAAACTGTATGGGTACCGGGCTATGTGTCATTAGTTCGATAACGCGACATTTTTGTGTTCACGAATAATTTTTGTGATGAAATAAATACAAATACGAATATATTTATTTCATCTTTAAACATTGTGTCGTATATAATAATAAGTATCATGTCTTGGTTATTTTAAGAACCAATTTACTTTCTCTGTTTGTCATTTATATGTATTTAATTAACAATTAACCCTACTATTACTTACAGAGTTAGCAGAGCTTCAGCCTCCGATGTTCGAGCTGCACCCCATGCGAGTACTTTTCCTCATGTCCAAATCGGGATTCAAACCCCCCTCTCTCAAGGAGCGAGAGCGCTGGTCTGCCGTCTTCCACTCCTTCCTCAAATTAGCTCTCACGAAGAATCCCAAGAAACGACCCACAGCTGATAAATTGTTACAGGTAAATCATCCTACTTAATATTATAAATGTTGAAAGTTTAGGTGAATGTATGTATGTTATTTTTTCACACAAAACGGCTGAACCGATTTGGTTGAAATTACCTGTGTAAAAAGGCAAAAATCATTTATTTCAATAAGACCCTTACAGGCAATTTTGAACGTAAACAAAATTTAAAGATATAAAGTGTCAGTCTGTCGGTCAGTCCTGTTTGTGAGCTATTTATAACCCTAGTATTTTTTCTTTCTTGAATGGCAACCGAGTAACCATAGTATAATATTTAATATCATCTTTGACAGTGACAGATGTAATTTTTGACATACGTCATAATTTTAATGATAATGTAATCGCACAAAATAATTTGTAATATCGGAACATTACCACCTTGTATTAATCTTTATTTCAATGTAAGATAATTTACTCCAACAACTCAGGATAATTTACCCAATAAATAATTTTAATTGTACACTAAAGGACTTTGTGACATAAAATGATCAAAAATAGCAATAAAAATAGAACAAGAATTGATTTTCCTAAAAGCTAATGGCCGTTATAAACATCATTCCGACAGTAGTTGATATGTTAAATATTAATTAACATACTAACTCATAGCTGAACTAATATACCTTCTCCATGTTCCAGCACGCATTCTTCCAGCAGGATATGAGCAAACGATTGGCCATCGAACTTCTACACAAGTACTCCAACCCGCCCAGCCACTGTAACAACGAGCCCGACGAGGATACTGTACGTACACTGCGATTTTGTCACTGACTCTTTACTTCTCTGTGGATTTGAACTTTAAAAGATATTCATACAATATTATTTTATAAGATAGGCCGGCTAACGAGTAGACGATTTACCTGATGGTAAATAATCAGTGTCGCCCATGGACACTCGCAACAACAGAAGAGCTACGAGTGCATTGCCGACCTTGTGGGGATTAGGGTTTTAGAGATTGGGGGAGGGGAGCGGTTGGGCTTCCGCCACAGATGATTTTGAAATAACCGTCAGTTAATTTGACTTCAAGATCCCTTTTCGGCCTTGTTTTACAGTGGCGTTAATGGCTGATATGCCCTTTAATTGCAAACATATTAATCCCATAGAGGCAATTATCAGCGTGGAGAAAACTGTCAAGGTTTTTAACGAAAAATTAATTATCATATATTTAATACGCTACAGGAATTGATGTAGAACTTACAGAAAAATACTTACTAACCTTAAATAAAATTCTCATCTGCAGGCGATGTCAAACATGCCAGCGCGCATAGCATCCCGCCATACTGGTCGCGGCGCTCGTCGTGTTCTAGGCGGAGAGCCAGCAAAACACGCGCGACCTCGTTCCCTCCTCACGGATGCCCGCGACGTGCCCTCCCTGCACGACCTCCCTCCCCTGCACGACCTGCCGCCCCTGCACGACCCCGCCCACATGCACGACCCCGCCCACCGACGCTCTGGACTCTACGATGATTCTCCAATAGTGGATCTTGATGCTGATGATGATCTAAGTGTCAATTCCATGCCGAAGGTCATCAATTTCAGTGCGGAAGTCAACAGGAGCTGTGATGGGGATACTGTTAAGAGGAATGGTATGTGGATTTTTTTATTTTTGTAGTAGGTACATATTTATAATACATATAATATAATGCGTGCAAGATATCAATATTATAGTTACTCGACTAGTTTCGAGAAGACGAAGGACCTAAACCAGTACAATTGTCTTGTCGAGCGTCGCAAAGATAACTTAGTATACCTCTCGGTATGTAGTGTACAAAACAGATCTCGACGTTGCAAGCTAAATTGAGCACCTTTTTGATAGCTCAGCAAAGGAACAGACGGATTACCGGATGGTAAACCGCTGCGGCGCTGCCCATTTACACCCGCAACAAACAATTGGGAATTTGGGTTATGGAAATTTAGGCATTGGGGAGTGGTGGGGCGAAAGGAATCGAGTCTCCGGTAATCTTACTTACACAGCGAAACACAACGCTGTTGTTGTTTTACGTCAATTTTTCTGTGAGGCTCTGGTCGAGCCGGCCCATTCGTGCCGAAGATGGTTCTCCCACACTTGCACCAACCACAATGGTTCAGCCCATTTGTAAAAAAAGTATGTCGTTAAAAATGTCGTTTGGTTTCACATAACATAAATTTACCCGACCCAGCTTGATTTAACTTGCTGCCCCTATACAATGACCCCGCTAAGCCAAGGTTCGAACCCTCCAAGGGGTGCTCTCAGAGATGCGGTCATTTAGCTTATAGTAAATTTTGGTTGGCCTGGCTGAGGGCCTTTAAGTAGAGGTCACGGCAGGGATTAGACCGGTTAAGTAGTAAACAAAAAAAATAATAATAACAAGAATAAAAAATGCCCACCACTTTTAAAGTTAGTCATAATGAGTACCTATAGCATTGATTTAAAGTTTCTTTTTCCATATCCACAGCATACCACAGACAGTCTAGTGAAGATTGGAGCGTAGCTTCACTAATGACTTGTCCGAAACATAATCCGTTAACACAAGATCTAGCCACCGACACAATGCCATCTAGCGAAAAGTAAGTGCAACTACAATTTTCATTAAACATAGCACACACTTTTGGTTACTTTTCTTGCTTTTCTGTTATGTATTATTTATTTTTAATATTTATATTTAATTTTTAAGAGTTCTATTGAAACGAATTTTTAGCCGAAACCTGATTTAAATATTCGGCCTTGCTAAACGATAGCCGAATATATAACACAGATTATGAGACTCTTTATAAAGTTTAAGCAAATGATGAAGGATTGATTTCGATACAATTGATCAATTCAGTAGGTACATAATGTTTACTGTTAAACTGGCGATTATGCCATTTGTTCATCAGGGGTAGTTTTGACCAAAACGCAAGTCTACAATTCTTGGCCGGGGTTGCGGGTCAAGCGCAATAAGGCATAGCGGCTCGGCCTAGAGTAGGAGAACGAACGGGAGTTTTTAGTCAGTGAGAATCTGACACTCCCTCTCGCCATACTCTGGGAGGGAGAAAACCTTTGATGATGTTCCCTTCTCAAAAATGCCTGTAATTGTCTAATTGAAATAAATGATTTTGACTTCATCACATCTTATTAAAATAGGCGTCAGTTTCGGCCGAATATTCAATTCCGGTTTCGGCCTAAAATAAAGTTTCGGTAGCACACTAAGTTTTATATATATTATTTTATAGCAAGTGGTGTCGGGCGATCACAGGGGATGATATTATGAGAATGAGTTTAAGGTACCCTCATTGATTTGGCAAAAAAAAAAAAACAAAAAATTTTTGACGAAACTTTTTCTATCTCTTCCCTAACTGTTAGGGTGTTTCCGTGTGCTAATTAATTTTGAATTCATGGTGAAGGGTGTTTCTTTTTTTTGAAAATTTTTGATTTGATTTCTCTTTTGTTTTTTTGAAGAAATTATTGTTTTTTTTTACTGTGTGTCGTGTGAGTGCACAAAATGATAGAATAGTCACACCTTTGTTGATGCGCATGATTTGGCGATGGTTTTTCTGTTTGGCTTTTGGTTTTATCTATGGGGAGCTATTATTGTCTATGATATATGCGAGGTAAGAATTTGTTCGCTGTCTCCGAAGCTCTGTTGTTGCCTTCAATGTGTTTCAAAATATATATTTTTATTAAGGTCTAAATATGCTATGGTTGAATTTTCCCTTATAACGCAAAATTGTTAGTCAAAGATGGCGAATGTCTGGACATTATCTTCATTTGAGGAGTCATATCATAGTCACAAGAGAATTAATCTTATTTAAAGATAATATAATCAGTACTTAGCAACTTTAGACCTTATGGACTGAAATATTAAGTCCTTCTTTACAAACAGCCAACAGTAAACGATCGTAATTTTAGATACAGAATGAATGAAAACATATTTCTGAAGAATCAAGTAACTCATATTGCGTCATAAATCAGAAATTAATATTTGAAATTGAGACAAAAGTTTATTAATTATTAATACCAGAAAAAAATTAAAATGCGCCATGACGCTAAAAGCTTAATAAAATGAGACGTGTAATATGTTATGACTAAGGTTGCCATTAAACAATAAAATAGAAAAATAAGTCTCTCGAATATTATGAAAGGTTCATCTTTTCATTTACAATTTAATGAGTATATTTATCATTACCTAGTCTTCTTACTTTATAAATACAATGAATACTTATCTCAAATTTTGGTAACCTTATTCATGACGTATCTATTTATTAGCATGTCAATCTATAAGAGATAATGACGTCAAATCACGTTATGGCGCAAAAAGTTCGTTACTGCGCAAAAAGTTCGTCACTGAGCAAAAAGTGCGTCATTGCGCAAAAAGTTTCGTCATTGCGCAAAACGCTTTTTCAAGTGAGTATCATCTGTAAGTTGTCTCTCTTGTTTTAGGAGCCTCTTGCAATATATCGATGAAGAGTTAATGCTAAGGTAAACGGTCAGGTTTAAAGTTTGCATGTAAATACATAAAAATATATGTAATTATGTGTGTTTTTGTGTCGTTAGAAGCTTTGTACGCTGTTCGGAATTGTTACCTATATTAAAACTGTAAATAATATTTGAATGATTAAATATTATCGTTTACTTTATTTATTATAAAAAAAATCGCGATTTTGTGTCCTAAAATGTACAAGGCAGACCCTAATTAAGCTAAAACTTTTTGATAATAATAAGTAACTAAAATACCTACTTAACAACCCTAGAAAGAAATGTGTTATTTTATAAAAGTTAAGGGTTTTCAAAGAAACACCCATTTACGTCATTTCGCTAACACTAGACCTCACCTGTATGGATGGATATTTTAACTGAGATCACGTGTCTGCCTGTACAGTGTGGGTTCTAAACCTGGCCGTATGTACTTTCTTACTGTATTTAAACACTATTGACAAACAATGAAGGAAAATATCGTAAGGAATAGACTGAATTCGCCTTCAGAAAGCGTGATATTAATGCTCAAATCTTCTCTATGTGAGAAGAGCCCTTTGCTCAGCAGTAGGCACTTAAAGGCGGATGATATTATGTGTCTGTATTGAACCAATGACGCAATCTGACGATGGTTTACTAATGGAAATAATAAATAAAGTAAAAATTACTTTGAACATCCAAAAATATTCCGAACAGCCTGGCCCGTAGATATAGTTTAGTTTGGATCTATGTGTAAATTAGTCACATAATATTTAAGTAAACAAAATACTGAAAAAAAAACATTGAACAAGTTTTGCAGACTTTTTATGGATATAGTTTTGTACATTTTTGTAACGGTAACTAACACTAGGAATCAAGGGACGATCTCCGGCCACCGTAAGCACGGGCCTGCGGTCGGCGAGTAAGGGCAGCTCGCCGCCCGACCAGAACCAGGCCCGAGCGTACGGCGCGTAGCGTTCCGCGCGCGCCTCAAAGAGCCATTAGACCACCACAGACGGGGCCCTAAAGGGCTGATGTTCAGCCGGGGTTGCGGGGTAAGCGCAATGAGGCACCGCGACCTCGGCACAGAGCAGGAGAAGGAACAGGGGGGTTTTTAGTCAGTAAGAGTCAGACACTCCCTCCTGCCCGGCCCTAGGCGGGAGAAGTCATTCGATGATTTTCCCCTCACAAAAAAAAAACTAACACTAGGAATGTTTGTGACATTAATACAGAAAAAATATTCATACAGTGAAAACTGTTGAACTTGGCTTGGAACGCTACCGACTCTGACACGATTATTTTTCATTCTTATGGTCGTATTTCCATGCCATGGAGATACATCAAGTGCCCGGGTTATGGGTCAAGTGCAGCAAATACAAGTTGGGAAAGGGTTGGGGTTTAGTCAGTAATAGTCAAATACTCCCTTTCGCTTCACCCAGAGCCAGAAACGGTGTTAGATGATTTTCAACCCTTAAAAAGGAATGTACCAATTAACTTGGCAGGAAAAAATACGACCCAAGTTGATAAAGCATTTTGAGGTACCAATGTAATTAAGATCTGCTGAAGTAGCCACCGTCGATACCTGGTTACATCGCTTATCAGGCACTACATAAAAAGTCTGTAATTAAATTATATAAAAAAATATTAAATAAATATGCATTAAGCGTCTCGCATAGTTATTTAGAGTAGTCGTAGCATGAAGCATGTTCCATGGATTAAAAGCTTTTGCAGCTTAAATATAATACAAAATAAACAGAAAAACGATAACGTAATAACGTAAATAAATTTTTGTTCCTCACAACGTTTTTAATTAAAACGTACGGTTTATATCCCACCAGCACCACTTGTTATTTTAACAATACATAGCTTGTCGACGTGACACTACTAAGTCCCTCTCCCACATTGTGTCTAACCGCACTCGAAACAGCTTTAGAACAAACCTAACCGCACTGCGAAAACCCCCAAAAAAGCTACTAAAAACTCCCAAAAAAAAAACTACCAAAACAGTAATTTTCCCAATCTTATTTCCAGGGCAACACTACCGTTAACAGCGGAAACCGCGAACATGGCGCAGGGTGGCAACACCGCGCTATCGATGCACGACCAACACTTGTCCCAATGTATACAGTTAAAACAAAACTTTTTGAACAATTCTACCGCGAATATTTATCAAAATCTCACGTCTTCTTATCAGACTCCTATAGGTGCTTCTAGGGTGTCCATCGACGATCCTCTGTGCAGGAAGATAGGGGAGGATATTATGTACGTGGATCAACAGGAGAACGACCATTTGGACTTGCAACGGAACGCTAACTGTGAATGTGGGCTCTGTCCCAAACCGGAACCTAGGGACAACAACACGCTTAGCGACCTACAAAGATCCGTGGCGAAATGTTCGTGTGACGTATGCAACTCCAACGGCGACATACTAAGCTACTACCGAAACTGCTCCAACCAAAACACAGACTCCGGCATAGTGTACTGCGAAAACTGTAAAAAACAAAAAATATCCGTGTCCAACTTCAGAGCTTTACAAATCGCGAATAGGTTAAGAATAGCTGAAGATGATAAATTACAAAACGGTTCGACAGACGACGATTTGTGTAGGAAAATCGACATGAGCTTGAATATGGAGGATAAAGTTTTTGAACATAGAAAAAAGCATAACAGACATCATTCGGATTCGGTAACTGCTGGCATAGATCTTAATCAATTCTGTCAATGTGAACTAGAAGTTAAAAGGAAAACGTCGTCTGTCGATGAAATTTTCAAAATGGTGGACGAAAATGGGCGGGACGTCAAAACGGAAGCCATCGATGAAGAGAATAAGACTACTCAGAGACAAAGGAGTTTGTCTGACAGCCAGCGGGATAAGGCAAAGGTCGATAATAAGGGTGAGTGGTCTATGATGGACATTAAAATGTAAGAGATACTTTTTACAAACGAGAGAGATTACCTGATGGTAAGCATTCGGCGGTGCCCATTGACACCAGCAACACCAGAGGAGTTTCAAGTGCATTGCCAGCCTTTAAGTGATAAGTGGGGATTTGGGGCGTTGCGTTATGATTGATTGGAGGGGAGGTGAGGAAGTATTGTCCCTCCCGTGACCTCACTCAGACGGCGAAACACAATAAGCTGTAGTTGTTGTTGTTTGAGCTGGCCCATTCGTGGTCATCACTAACTAAAAATGTTATTGCATTTCTGCAGCTATACCTAAAATAAAAAGCTTTCTATTGAATTAAAATATTCTACCGCCAATCTATTAGTATCAGAAGCTATTCAACTCCATTCTATGCAAATGCAACAAACAAGAGAAGCCACTATAATATACAATATATAAATATTTTTATTATCTTTTCCCCCAGTGGCTGGTGAAAGTGGAACTCCCCCAGTGCCCCCGAGACGGGCGAGGTCACGACGGACACATACACCGCCCCGCGCGGCCCCTAATGGTCTGCCTCCTACGCCCAAAGTACACATGGGAGCTTGCTTCTCAAAGGTAAGTTAATTTTGCTACAAAACCCTCTTTCCCTTTTGGGGGAAAATATCACCCAAATTCGGGGGTATATCAGACTCTTACTGACTAAAAACCATGCCGTTCTGTTCTACTACTCCGAGCCTTGCCGCGGTACATCGTTGATCGCAACCCGGGGGTTAGTGGGGTCGTAGCTTGTTCAGTATAACATAACCAATATTTTTTGAGACACACATTTTTTCTTCTCCTCAAATAATATCTTCTTATTAATTTCGTTGCGAGATCCAATACAGTCATTCATGTCCCTGAGACACGCCGACGACTTCAGTGTTCCGGTGTTTTCATTCATATATTTACCGTAGATCCTGGCTTACAGGAGTTGCAGCAGTTTGGGAGGGTGCGGCAGGCTGGTCACAAAAAAAATATTACAATCTGTGGCGAAAGCTCAATAATGTATTTAGGTCCTGGCCAGGAGCTGGTTTTTAGCATCTTAGAGTCAGTGAGACACTCACACTGTTTGATGATATTCAACCGGCAAAATTCAATATTATATTGCATATAACCAGGTGTTCAACGGATGCCCGCTGAGGATCAACTGTACAGCTTCCTGGATACATCCCGATACGAGAGATCAACACATTCTAATTGGTAAGATCACCTTTTTTTAAATTATTAGTGTACTACTCTCATATTGCTTGACCCACAACCTCAAATTATTCACAGCTTAAAGTTGTATTATTTGCAATGTTTTTTGTGAACCTCTGTTCTCTTTACCTTTTTCTTACCGTGTTTTGCCTTTAAATTTTGTGTTGATCAATCAACGCTAATGCCAAATGCCTATGATACTATTCATCAGTTTAGTTTTTAAGTGCCTTTTTTTAAAAGTTACATTAAAATATAATACGACAATCGGTAGTTGATAACGAGTCACATTCAATACCTTATAGAAATGATAAAAACAATCTATTTTAGGATTTTTATGAGATTGTAACACAATTCACTTGTATACAAACCAAATGTATTTTTCGTCGTTATTACTGAAAAACTTACCTCAAACACCAAATTAGTTCTGACACACGGTTTCCCAAAGGCCGATCACTGTTAAAATCAATTTAATCTCTTGTCAAGTCATCTGATTGGTTGACTTGACTTAACAAGAGATTTAACAGGAGATTAGTTAATTTTAGCGTTTACAAGCCTTTCAGAAACCTGGTGTAAGTATCCATGTCCAATTAAAGAATTAAATTAACTATGATTATTTTTCAATATTTGTTTTTTAATATTGAAAAGCCCAAATAAGTTCACAACACAACAATTTACAATACCACCTACGTATCTTGGCGAGTCTGAAGTTAGCCGAGTAGCTGCGGTGTACACAATTTTGTTCCTAAAAGATCCATTGCGCAGACAAACGGCTAAATTCAGACTCGCCAAGATACGTCGGCCGTACTGTAGCTTACGGTAACGTCAATCCCTAATTATAGGTTTGAAATCGCCAATCCGCCTTGAGTAAGCGTGATCATTACTGCTCAAACCTTCTCCGTGTAAGAAGAGGCCTTTGCTCAGCAGTGGGCACTTATAAGCTGATGAAAGCTTATATTATGTTGTTTTTTTTTGGAAATAACTCACTGGTGTTGTTTTTAGGTGCGGAAGAAGGCATCTACACATTGAACCTGAATGAATTGCACGAGACGGCGATGGACCAGCTCTGTCCTCGACGGACAATCTGGATGCATGTCATCAAAGATGTGCTCATGTCGCTTTCAGGTAAATATACACTTACGCGCCACTTTCGCGCGGAATCACTCGCTACTCGGGTCCTACAGACCTTTGCGTGATATTTTATAGCCTTCTTGCTTTTGCCTGCGACTCCCTTCGCGTGGAATAGTGGCTTCCTGAAGATTTTTGGTATAAAAACTATCATATGTTCTTTCTCGAGTTTCAAACTATGTCTGCACCAAATTTTACACAAATCGGTTCAGTAGTTTAGGCGTGAAGAAAAGACAGACAGACAGTGTTACTTTTGGATTTATATATGAAGGCACCGGGGGGTTGGTACAAACATCAACAACCCGATCATCGTTTTCACAGTCCATTGCAGGGCGTAGGATTTTATAATCAGACCGAATAAATTACAAAAATAACGGACGTCGGCGATCCCTCTCCTATGACAGTCACAGCGCTCGCCCTCCACCATAATGCGCACGCAGAACTGCCAGTTTGACGTTCCACCAGAGTACGATTCATTGTACCCTCGTCCGATGAATTGTGATAAAACCTCCTTCAGAATTCAATTTAAATAATCGTCGCTCCGACATATAATACATTTCTTGTGTGTCGTTTTTGTGTGTGTATGTGGTCGGTATACGAGCAAACGGATTACCTGACGGAAAGCAATCAGCGCCGCCCGTGGACACCCGTAACAACGGAGAAGTTATTTTGTCGACCTTTTGAGGCTTAGGGATTTGGAGATTTTGGCACTGGGGGAGGGTAAGGATTTGGCCTCCGGTAACCTCACTCATATCATTGAGGATACCGGAGGCCCTCCCCTCCCCCCAACTTCTTCAGTACGTAAATCCCCAATAACTCACAAAAAGCAGGCAACACACTTGTGTTTTTACCCCAAAAATCTGCAGGAATTCACTTTTCCACGCGAACCAAGTCGCGGACAAAATCTAGTATCTAATAATCGTTTTTATTTTTACCGTTTCCAGGCAAGACCCCGTGCTTATACAGGCACGAGCTACTAGCTCTCCTGTCCGGGGCCCGCGGCCGCAGCCTGCGGGTACTGCCGCCGCGTCTACTGCCGCGACGCTTCGCGCTCACCACGCGGGTACCTGACACCCGGGGTATGTACACATTACACAAGATGGATAAACGTACATGTAAAAATTAAGTAATCGGCACCGCCATTAACCGCAACATGCCGCCCCTTTGGGGATTTTGAGGATCCGGAATTGGAGGATTGAGCCTCTGGTAAGCTCACTCACACGGTGAAACACAACCATGTCGTTGTTTCACGCCGGTTTTCTGTGAGGCCGTGGTATCACTCCGGTTGAGCTGATCAATTCGTGCCGAAACATTGCTCTCCCACACTTAAAGCCGTTCCGTCCAGCCATTTTGACGTGATTGAGTAACAAACAAACATCCAAACATCGTAACTTTCACATTAATGATATTAGTAAGTTTGTCAGCCTTCCATCCAGGATGACTATAAATAGGTGCATTATAACTAAGTATAATTGTTTTCCCCGTTGCAGGCTGCATGCGTTGCGCAGTGGCCCGCAACCCGTACAACGGGTACAAGTACCTGTGCGGGGCCACGCCCGCCGGACTCTTCCTCATGCAGTGGTACGACCCGCTACGCAAGTTCATGCTGCTCAAGGTAATTTATTCTTCTCATTATCACTTCTGTGCCTTTTTTTCGTGAGGGGAAAATCATCAAATGACTTCTCCCGCCCAGTGTCGAGCGGGAGAGAGTGTCAAACTCTTACGGACCATCGTTCCATCTCCTGCTCTAGGCCGAGGTCGCGGTACCTCATTGCGCTTACCCCGCAACCCCGGCTGAACATCAGCCCTATAGGGCCCCGTCTGTGGTGGTCTATTGGCTCTTTGAGGCGCGCGCGGAACGCTACGCGCCGTACGCTCGGGTCTGGTTCTGGTCGGGCGGCGAGCTACCCTTACTCGTTGTCCCCAGACCCACGCGTTCCTTCTGTGCCTTTAAGGTACCACCACAGATAGCACCCCATAGGGCTGATGTTCAGCTGAGGTTGCAGGGCAAGCGGCATAAGGCACTGCGCTCCCGGCCAGGGAAGGAACGGGGTTTTTTAGTCAGTAAAAGTCTGACTCTCCCCCGGCCCTAGACGGAAGAAGTCATTTGATGATTTTCGCGTCGCGAAAAAGGCATTCTGTCTCCTGAATTAAATTTACCTAGGGAAGACGTTTTTCCGTCAAATTTATTTGAAACTCCAAATTATGACCTCATAGTATTTATTTATGAGTCAAATATCATCCTTTTTTCTTAAAAATACCAAAAATAAATTTATTGTATCGCCAGATCGATGAATAAAATTACTTCTAGTTATTTTTCAATATTTTATTGTATTGAAATTTTGAATTAATTTATTTTTGATCTAGGAAACTGCTCAATCAATTTGAGTAATGTAAATATGTATGTGTTGTACAGAACATAGAGTGCGTGCTGCCGTCCCCGCTGCTAGTGTTCGAGCTGATCATAACGCCGGACCTGGAGTACCCGCTACTCTGCGTCGGGGCCACCAGGAAGCCATTGCGGCTCAATCTGCTCAACATTAACTCCGGTAACTTATTTATAATAATGTCAAAATCATTTATTCTAACTAAACCAACTTTATTGTAATTATTTTGACTTTAATTATGCTGTGCTTTTGTATAAGTAACTAGCTACTCTCGAGCGGTTTCACCCGCTGCTCCATTTAATCCTAGCATGATGTTTTATAGCCTATAGCACTCAGGAACATTGTAGCTATATATCAGTGAAAGAATTTTGGCAATCCGACTAGCAGTTCCAAAGATTATCCCCTACATAAAAACTTACAAATTTTACCTCTTTATAATATTAGTATAGATGGGGCATTTTGAATTAAAATTGAAATGTACAAATGATACAGTATAGTGTACTCATTGTTGAGAAGCCTATACATATATATAAATCAATAATAAAACCAAAGTTACTAACTTCTATTAAATCTATAGACTAGCGGAATGCCCCTGCTCTGCGTGGGTGTCTAGTTTACGTACATTTAGTATACGGATTACGACTTGCGAGTGCGTTGCCGCTCTTTTGGGGATAAGGGTTTCGAAGATTTTGGAGTTGGTAAGGTATGGAAGAGTTGTGGTTAAGTTATCGGAGGCATAAACCTTCTCGTCTTCGTAATTCCTATATTTCCGGCACCAAAACTTTCAAAAGGTCGGCAACGCACCCATAATTCCTTTGGTATTTGGTAATGTAGATCCATAGACAGCGCCAATACGGTAGTTTCCAACTAGCCAAATTCAATACTTTTATCCAAATGTGAAAAATTATACTTTTCTAAGAAATTTGTATGAAGAACTAAGTTATGACATCATAGTTTTTTAGCGTTAAATAGTTTACTTATTTCTTAAAAAATATCTAAAATTTAGTGAATCGATCGATCGATCGATGAATAAATGTATAGTTATTTTTTTTATTGTATTGAAACGTCGAATTCATTTATTTTTGAACCCAATTGCTTACTATGCATTAATATCGCGGTATATGTCCCTGCAGGAGCGTCGTGGTTCCACTCGGAGGAGCTGGAGTCGTGCGTGGGGGGCTCCAACACGGTCATCCCGCGCCCCGAGCGGCTACACACGCTGCGCGCCGTGCATCAGCTCAACAAGGATTCCGTGTGTATACTTGACTCTCCTACACCTTACTCCATACCTTCATATCTCTGCTCTGCTTGGCTCCTACAAATCGGGGCGTGATGTTTTATAGCCTTAAGCCTTCCTCGATAAATGTACTAACAAACACAATTAAACAATGAAACAATGAATTTATTTTTGCAAATAGGCCATAAAACGGCACTTTTACACGTCAATTTATATGTGAAAAACTAGACGAAGCCGGCATTTCCTATCTGACTACTCTGAGAAGAAATGCCGAAACAAACTCAGAGGTCAGTCTCTCACAAAAAGAATTATCCAATTCAAACCAGTAGTTCCAGAGATTACCGCTTGCAAACAAACTCTCCAGCTTTATAATAATAATAATAATTATTATTAGTAAAGATTTTGAATGATGATCCAACATACATAGTGACTAGTAGACCGATAAAGTGATTGGTACGTGATTGTACTTATAATAACAAACAACTCTCACAAAGGAACTTTTTTTCTATTCTCCCCAGTGTATAAGTCAGAGCCTAAAAAACCCGAGTAAAGGTGCCTTGGAATTACTTGCCGACTCGGTAAAGGAATAAATTAAACGGAACCATTATTACCTTCACCTCAATAGACATATAATTGTTATTATGATTACCAATACGATATTTCGCTTATTTATGAGAAAACAAAACTAACCTTATTATTAAAACATATTTTTTGAAGTTTCAAATACATATTCTTTTTTGTGTTTCGCCTCAGTATCGATTCATATTCCTGGGACGATAATACCCAACATTGACATAACTTTTTTAGTTAAAGTCGACATGAGAATAACAGTTGTTTTAAATAATTCCAGGTACTAGTATGCCATGAGAATGTGGTAGACATAATCCCAGTGCTGCCCCCTAGCATAGAGAGTCGCTGGAGGCCCGAGGAGGACAAACGGAGGCACAAACTCTTATCCCGGATACAATTCGATTTCAATATCGATAGTATATGTAAGTATTGTTCAAAATAGCAATATTTATATGTGTGGGAAAGCCATGCTCCAGCACGAATGGGTCGGCTCGACCGGAGTGATGACCACGGCCTCACTGAAAACCGTCGTGAAACAAGTCACAGTGTTTTGTTTCGCCGTGTGAGTAAGGTTACTAGAGGCAAAATACTTTAACCTCCGAAACCCTCATCCCCAAAAGGCCGGGAACGCACTCGCAACTCCTCTGGAGTTTCGTGTGCCCATTAGCGTCGTTGATTGCTTACCATCAGGTAATCCCTGGGATCGTTTGCCGTCCTATCACATAAAAAAGTGGGCCAATTTGATTGGAATTATACCACGGTATCGCAAAAGACTAGTGTGAAATAACCCCAGCGTTGTTCCGTTACCGCAGGCCCAATACATTCCCCTACCTCCCCTGATTTCCTATTCACAATGGCCAATCCCTAAATATCCAAAACTCCTTATCGCTCAAAATTCCTTTGGTATTGTAGGTGTCCATAAGTGACGCTGATCGCTTACCATCAGGTAACCCATCAGCTTCTTCCATTGTCGTCATCAGCCCATAAGTGCACACTGCTGAGCAAAGGCCTCTTCTCACACGGAGATCAGTACCACGTACCACGTATGTCAGTGGTGTTTAAATAATCATAGAAAGTACGTATAACTCGGAAAAAGACACATTGGTACTTGGCAGGTTTCGAACCCAGGATTCATGAGAAGCGGGCTCCTTAAGCTCCGGGCGACGACGTCAGCTCCTCCCATAAAAAGTCCATCTAACTGTGCAAATGAGTAAATGTATGTATCCCCTTGCAGTATGCCTGGCGGACTCGGTGCTGGCGTTCCACCGTCACGGGGTGCAGGGTCGCTCGCTGCGGAACGCGGAGGTCACGCAGGAGATCACCGACCACAGCCGCGCATACAGGCTGCTGCCGCATGATAAGTATGTATCACCTAATTATGTGCTATAAAAACTATGTCCTTTCTCGAGTTCCAAACTCTGTCTGTACCAAATATCAGAGAGAGACAGAGTTACTTTCGCATTTATAATATTAGTTTTGATTATTATGGCAATGTTTATTCGCAATGCTAAGGTTGGCTACAGTGCAATGAATGAATGTGTCATTTAGTTAAGGTTTTTTTTGTTATTCTAGAACGAAAGCAAATTTTTATACTATATTAATAAACTAATAAAAATGGTTATATGTCACAAATTTACTATTTTAAATTGCCACATACCTTTTTATTTCGAATGAGTACCACGAAATTAATATTTTAAATTAAAGTCGAGGGTATCCTGATATAATCTGTTGTTTATATTTTCCAGGGTGGTAGTACTAGAATCGCATGTTCTTCAAAACAACACGCTTTCCGGCGAAGATGGCAACGATCTCTACATACTAGCTGGCCATGAAGCCTCCTACTAAGGTACATCACTAGTAGCGCCACGGTACAGCGCTATCCAGTGCCACTGTCCCAACACTAGCCGACTAATTTGTCGATAAATAAGGCTGTTTTATTTCCCACGAAAAATGTCGAACGTCAAACATAATCTTTTGTTTCCCTGTAAAATATAATTCTTATGTTGCTTTAGTGAAGTTCTCTACATGTCGATAGAATAATATCGATAGTCGATATAGTGATGTGACATTGTTCGGGACGTTGTTTTGTCCTAGTTTTTTTATTAGCATTTCGTTTAAACTGTTTGTTTTGTATTTTAATAAAGTATTAATCAGTAAAAAGATTGCAATGGTGTATGCATCTTTCAATTATATAATCAATAGATTTACTTAAAGGCAAGTGAGTTACCTTACAACGCTAAAATAAGCGATTAATCAACAAAATCAATATCGATACTTTTTGTGAAATATCGATAGTGAAAGGTAACGCGCATCCCTAGTTACAGTATTTAAAACATGCTTTATTTATTATAGGATTAGACAGAATATTATTTTTAATAGCGTCTAGCAGAGTTTAAAAAAGTATTTTTAATATAGCAATATAAGCTTAAGGATGATTTCTGAGTTGAATAAAGGATTATAGAGTTTTAATTTTTTCCTAGTTCTCAGCAATAATATAGTAAAATCATCAATAATAGACTAGCCTCACGATCAAACCAATATTATGTCTAATACTATAAATAAATAAAGTCCAAAATCGACAAATAATAAGTTAAGATACCTAGTATTCAAATTCATATAAAAAGAATATCGATAATCGAAATAAACTATAGTCGATTAGTTTACTAAATAAAGAACACCACTAGACTCTTATTAATAAAGATGGCGTACATTCTAAATTCAAACATTTCGGATAGGCAACGATTTTATAAAATTCATTATGATTTTTTTTTCTTAGATGGGAAGATAGGTTCTTAGAAACAGCAACAAAATCTATTTACCAAAATAGACAAAGAAAAAAATCCATAAATAGACACGCATTTTTTTATCTATGGGATACTTTGATAGGTTTTATTTCTTGCCCTCTTTCTCTTACACGATGAAGGTTTGAGCATTAATCACCAAGCTTGCTCAAGGCATATTGACGATTTCAAACTTATAATTAGAAGTTCCTTCACGATGATTTTCTTAAGGCTGATTTTTCAATAGTCAGATAAATGTTATCTGAGTCATAAAATTGTTGCTGTTACTGTCTTATACAAACATTCTGATGCGACAGCATCATATTATTCACCAGATAACTTTTATGTAACCATTGAAAAATCAACTCTTAATGGTGTATCAGTGGTGTCTAAATAAGTTTAGATCCTATGTATCGGAAAACAGTTACAGTGATATTTGCCAGATTTTGCAACCGCAACCTCATGCTTGAAAAGCGGACGCCTTAACCTCCGGGCTACTAGGACAGAGTACCTTCTAAATATAAATAACTAGCTACTCTCTCGCGTTTTCACCCGCTGCTCCATTTAATCTTAGCGTGACATAGTTTATAGCATATAGCACTCAGGAACATTGTAGCTATCTATCAGTGAAAGAATTTTGGCAATCCGACTAGCGGATCCAAAGATTACCTACATACAAACTTACAAATTTTACCTCTTTATAATATTAGTATAGATGTAATATCCGTATAATAAAAAATGCGTGTCCAAATTATGTTTATTAATCGACCACACAGACGGAAATAATCGAGACATCTTCCCATACGTTTATTTATTAATTTAGTAATATCTATCGATAGATTATTATCGATAAATATTCCCCCACATCACTGCCATTTTAATACTTCTACGTAGGGGCGTTGTAACTCTTTTAAATTGTAATAAAAAAAATATAATACGCGTCTGTAATTACATTAGGTCCTAGGCAGAATGTTTAACCAGGTTGTTTAAAAAAAAGTTTAAGTTACTCCTCCAAGTGAATATCGAGAGGGTTTTCAGAGGAGGGTTCGTACATGTACAACAACTTCCCTCCAACCCTCAAAACATTAACCCCAACATCAAAAGCATCAGCAACGCACTTGCAAATGAATTACTCTTATTAATTAATTAAAAAACGCTCTACCAGTTTCAAGTTAGAACGGGACTCGTATTCAAGAGCAGCGTGCTACTTGAATACAGCTATTCAATAATAGTACTTGTTACATTGCGATTTATGCTCATTTTCCGATTTTTATCACAAAAAATCTACGTTTGTCAATTAGATCAGACTTTGACCTGTATATGATATTTCGAGTAGGGTGTTGAAAAAGTAAAAATGAAATATTGCGCTCGGTTGCCACCCCATTCTTTAAAAGATCTACTGGGGTGACTGTAAAAACTGCTGTAAAAATTACTACAAAACACATTGATAGGCTGGTAAACGAGCAAACGGATAACCTGATGGTAAGCAATCGGTGCCATGCCTTGATTCCCTCAACTCCAAAATAGTTACAAGCGCTGTCTCGGCCTTTTGTAATTTGTTAGGAATTGGAGGATTAGAAATTTGCGGACTGGGAATGAGAGATAGGAATGGCTTCCCCAGACATAAGACTGTGTGACATTTTGAAGCAAAACAGCGCCATCCACCGGGCTGATTTGTGAATCTAAACCATCCTGGGCAGCGCATAGAGAAAAATTCATTTAAATCGGTCAAGCCGTTTAGAAGGAGTTTAATGACATACACACGGACAGCATAATTATTTAAATAAAGATATATACTTGGTTATTGTGTAGCATGTCCATCTACTTCTTCAAAGAAAGAGGCGTATTACTATATAAATATAAGAAAAGAGTTACAATTCCTACTCAAGAAGTATTTAGATTATATCATTCCTCAAACAAAAGCAATTAGTTTGATTAGCAAACGAAATTTATTATAATTACTTGGATTAAGAAAATCAAGGTTAATTATTACTATTGTTATTGCATATTAAACCTAATCAGTATGCTATTTAGGTTACAATTTGAGTTGAAAATGTAGTTTTGATTGTCCTATCTTGTTAGTCAAGTATTCTTTTTTTTTTATCTTCAGTAAAAAATACGAACCTAGAAAGTATCAATGAATTTTGACCTTTATATTTATCCTGATAAGGTTTAATGTTCGGTTGCATTAGTAAAATATATTATAACCTTTTATTCGGCTAAACAAGAATGGTTTGTGATTGTCTATCTCTTTCCCTCATACTCGTGTTTGGATGTTGAAAAATCGTAGATCGAAAGGAAGTGTGTGAGAGGGACAACAATATATGAGATTATCTTTCACATAAACATAAAAACGTCGATTATAAAAGCTTCCCCAAAATTGTGTGTAAAAAAATATTTAATATTGCAACTCCTAAAGTGTTGCAAGTAACAAAAATATAATGGATAATACGCGAATAACATTTAATCTTAATCTAACAGTTAAATACTGTGATTGCATTACTTAGGTATTTTAACTAATCATGTATAAAAAATAAAGTATTTTGAAGTAAGATTTTAAATCGATTAATTCGTAATCGATACTTGGAAATCTTACTAGGCACATCACTAATGATGGATGGGACATCTCTAGCTCCCTTATACATTACGAAGATAAACAGATGAATTAACAAAATCTTTAACTCATTACAATATAAATATAAATAAATAGGAATGTATTTATTTATTCAATATTTTATTTTTATTTTAATATCGTTATTATTAATGTAGCGAAGAAAAATATACAAAAGACATTTTTTTTTAATTCTAATAGAAATCCCTAGAACGAAAGTAAACACTTGTGTAATATTTGATTTTCATTATTATTTTCTTTCTTTTTTTTTGTAAATATAAAAATAATATTATTCCAATTAGTTGTTAGTGAATCTGTATAATATCTTTAGTCATAATTAATATTATTATTGTAATTACTTATACTATTATTTTTTGTAATGGCAATTTTGACAGTTCTTTTTTTTCGCCGGTAACACTGTTAACTAAGAAATTTCACGGATTTTTTTTATTAATAGTGATTTGTATTTGTTTGAGAACGGACGTCTTAGCTTCCAGTGTATAAGGATCTCGCTAAATTTTAAGACCATGACAAGGAAACTTACGACCAGAAATATATTTGTGGTATGAAAAACAGATATTTTTAAATACTTAACATTTTTTTTTTCTAATTAATTTTATGGCAAAATAACGTCAGCCTGGTCAGCTAGTAAACCCGATTGGACCGGACTGATACCACGGCTTCACAAATTGACGTGAAACATCCACAGAGTTGTGTTTCGCCGTGTGAGAGAGGTTACCGGAGAACCAATCCTTCCCCTTCCCTAATCCCTAAATTTCTTATTCGAACTCGTAACTCCTCCGTTGTTGCGGGTGAAAAAAATGATTTCATAGCCAAGGTGTCCATGGGCGGCGCTGATTGCTTTTCATCAGGTAATCCGTCTGCTCGTTTGCAGACCTATACCACAAAAAAAAATGTAGGTATACAATTTTGTACCTCAAAATATATTTCTGGTCGTACCATCCAAGCCGTAGTAGCGAGATTATGAAAACCTTCAATTTATTTCATATTTTCAGTAGAGAATTGTACCTTTACCTTTTAGACATAGTTATACAAAAATGTTATGTTCAAATAATAGCTAGAATGAGCCGTTTCAAACTTTTTTATTCCTTAAACTTGGCAATACTTATGAGAATAGACGGCTACTCACTGGTGACTCCTCTGGTGTTGCAAGTTTTCTTTAGCGGAGCCGATCAACCAATTGATCCGTCTTCCAGTTCATTTGCCATGGTGTCAAATACAAAAAAAAAAGTTATCCATGAACGTTTTTGCAAAACTATGTCTTCAAAACTTTTTTGCTTATAAAATTAAAATTTTCAATTTTTTGTAAATAATTTACCATTCAATGTCAGAAGGAGAGAGGAGCTTAAACAAGGAAGAGTAAAAAAATGTACTGTTATTTATCTCTTTCTTACAAACAGCGCTAGTAAAGGACAGCGATATGCTTGTAAAGGCGCCCAATTAGTAAAAATTCTTTTAGAAATCTCAATGAATTATATCTGTATTTCGATTTTGATTTTAAAGTCAGATTCTTTTTAATGGTTGTGCTTTATTTTTCAATGTTTCTTGACTGATATTTTAGGGTCGGTCTATGATTTATTTTTTTCGTTTCATCAA